GTGTGGTGGGGCGGGGCGGTGTGTGCGGCCGTGGCTAATTGGAGACCAAGGCTGCTGCCGACGGAGTCCTCGGGGAACACGACGTCGCCGATGATACCCGCCGCCACCGCCGAGCTCGTTCTGGACGGGAGAATCCTGCTCGACCAAAACAGGTCTCTGGTTCGACCGCGATTGCCTCACCTAGTGGGACTGCATTTCTCAATACCGAATGAAAATACTTGCGATTGTTGCAAAGTTATCATTCACTCATTCCACAAAGGATTAAATCGTGTGCACGACTAGTTAGCCAGACTGGCTAGCCACTGCATGAAATAACCCAGCCCCATTCATTTGACCAATGGAGTAGGTATGTGGTACGTGTCGACTATCGACTGAAACAGAATACGAGCGAATGTCGCCGACAATGAGGGTCGTCCTCACAGGGTCCAGCAACTCTCACTGTTGAGTGGTCTTTAGCCCCTCATGGAGCGTTTTGCAGAAGGGAGGTCCCTTTGCAGGAGTCTCCCCCCCATAACGCTTCGCAGTAAGGGGAGGGTATTACCTCGGGTATTAAAGCTTGCGAATATTCTCCGCGAGCTCCCTCGCAGGGGGAGGGTATTGCCCTGGGAATACTCTCTGCCCGCTCACGCCTCGCACCGCACACTCGGGGTTTCCGGTTCCTCCAGCCTGCGTGACAGCCTGGCGCTGGCGGCAGCTCGAGCCCACCTCCAGCTCCGGGCCCGTTTCCACTCTCGTGCGCCCCTCATACCTCCTGTGCCCCGTGCAGAATGCCCTGCTCAGCTCGTCCTGCGCCGAGGACCTACACCAGGCCGCAGCGCCGCATTTCCACAGGATATTTACCCCGCCCCACCCTCCTCCTCTGCCTCTACCCTTACACCGCACCGCCCTTCCTCTCTTGCTTTACCTTATTCCCGTCGCCCGTCGCTGGATGCCCCCCCCCCCTTCCCCCCGGGCGCGCATCGTCACATATACATCGCTTTCCGCCGTGACTCCTCCGTGGTCCTGATTTGTTTGCTGCGTCCAAGCGCCACTGTGTGCGTGAATGTGTTTGTGTGTGCACGCCACTGTGTGCGTGCGTGCGTGTGTGTGCAGAGCCAAACTCGTGTGCGTCCCGTCAATCCCACGTGACGTCGTTCTGAGAATCGGAGCAAAGCTGCTGCTTTTTCCCCCGGCCCTATCTGGCTGGAAAAGATTAGGTTCCCTGAAGCGGGTGAGGAAGGCGGGCACGGCCGCGCACTTCCGGCGGAAGAACACGGGAGTAGCGCATCTCAACTGCTCTGCTGTCCCCAGCCACTTGCCAGCCGGTTTAATACCGGGCAAATCACGTAAACGCTTTCATCCGAAATGTTATTACTTTCTTCAATGTCAAATCAGTATTTTCCAGCGAGGTCAAAATATCCTCGTAAAGCAAAGCAAAAAGAGAAAAGAAGGTGGGGCGGTAGGGGAAAGACCAGTGGTCCCGTTCAGTAGTCCGTGGCGGGTATGAAGGGTAAGTGCGATCCGGATAAACTTGTCGCCGTGTCGCAGTCCCGACGCGGAGACCCCCCCCCCCACCTCCACCCCTTCTCTCCACCCTTTTCCCAATCCTTGCCTCCGGAAGATAAGACGGGATGCGATAACGCAGTAACAACATGTCAGAAAGCTTGGCGTGGCCGGCCGGGGCGGGTTGGCGTGGCGTGGTGTACGTGGGCCCCCAAGTCCGGGGCCAAAGCGATGAGAGTAGTTGGCTTTGATTCGCCGAGGAGGCGGAGGAGGACCGCGAGGAAGATGATATCTCTATAGAACCCTCCTCCATGTTTGTGGGCACGCCCGCCCCTCGTCCCCTCGTACCCCGCGGCCGGCCCGACCCACCTCGCTCGACCAGGCAACTCGTATTGAGAGACGTTGTGTTGTTTTCGGTTACGGCTACGGTTACCGACCCACCTCGCTCGACCAGGCAACTCGTATTGAGAGACGTTGTGTTGTTTTCCCCGTTTTTGTTTTCCCTTAGCTGGACGATAAAAGGGAGAAGATGGAAAGGAAGCATTCTTTGGAGGTCTATATTACCCAAGAACATTAGTAGAAACATATCAGCAGCGGATAAGATACAAGGAAAACCAATTTAAAACAAACTATTGATATAAGGTGCAACTCACTGGAAAAACTAATGTGGCATGTGTCACATTACAAGTTTGACATCTTTGGTATGTCGCATGTCTTGTGTGTATTTTGCTCACATTTTAGTGGGACCTCTTAACTGACCAATGCTACTCAGGAAGCCTTTTCCGGAGATGGTATGTTTTTCTTTGCTTTGCCAAGCGCATTAAGACTATTTAATACTGCCTTACATGTGGACGGCGAGTGCCTGCACACTGGGTGCTTTTGATGTGTCTGCGGCAACGGTGAGAGAGGGAGGACAAGGGTTGGCTTTGGTGGACGACGGGGTGCGGGGGCTGCTCAGGACGGGTCTTACAACCCCTCGGAGCTTTTCGGCGGCAGCACGCACGATCACTGGAATGGTGCCCTGGCCCTGGTCCGGCAGACCAAAGCCAAGAATATAGAATATTCAGAAAGGCCCCCAAAAACTATTTCAAATGAGTAAAACCTTAATCTACTCTCATTACAACTTTTGTAAACAACGTTTTTCACATTGCATCCAATTATATTTCGATGAGTATATTGTTATTATGCTTTTCTATATGTGATATCTAAATCCACTAAATCTAATATTTGTAACTCGATATATTGAATGAGACCTTTAATCAACATGAGTATAAATATGTTTGAATACATTTATATGCAGACATATAATGCTAAACATAACGCGTTAGTTTTGTTCCATTTAGCTAGGGTATGCGAAAACATGTGCGTCGTTTACTGTAATTTTAAGTACTCTCGTGTTTCGGGCGCGTGAGCCGCTAGTTAGGCGCGCCCTACCCCCCGCTGCCCGAAGTCCCTTCTCTCGATAGAAGAGCTCGTTACACGAGCGAGACGGAATAGAAGAGACGAAGGAGGAAAACGCGCGCCAGGGATGAAAAGTGGAATTGTACAAAAGGCGATGACAAGGAGACGTTCCAGGGACCTCCTCAGCCCTCCTCTCCCCGTCCTCCATCCCTGACCTTGCCTACAATGTTATTGTGCGCAATCCCCAGCTGTGCGGCAGCCCCGTCGTCGTCGCCGTAATTCACTAGCGTGAAAATACAGTTGGCGACTGAAATCAGAATATGAATATTAATGCAGCAGTGGGGGTAACTCCCCGGCCTCGCGGGTCGTTGTGGCGGCGACGGGCGAGTGGGCAGTGCGACGCACTCCCATTGTCGCCGGCTCCAATAGAAACCTCTAACAGAGAGAGAGAGCGAGCGGTGATTGCAAATGGGGTGCTGATGGGTCGCTGCTGTCGGCGGGACATTCCCAAACAATGTCGCGTCATGTATGTGCACAAGAGTCTCGCTCCGTCCCACACAGCAGTGGCAGCCGAGGAGTCAGCGGCGTCAGCTTTGAACAAAATTGGGTAGTTCTGTTTTTATCCCTTAAGCCCGACCTTGATTCTGTTGTAAGAGGCGATAAAGCGTGCTAAGTCCAAGACCTACCATTTAAAGGCGCCAAAGGTTTACCTTTACAACGGCCCCGGCGGGGGCAACCTGACATGTCCACAGCATATCCGTTCAAAATCGTTTGGTCGTAAATTCTGGAAGTTCCGCAAATACGTCTAATCGTTTGGATACGTATTTCGTGGTCGTCAAAATATATCCCGTCATCTCTGAAAAAAACACTTTAACGAGCCATATAGGCTAGTCTGACTACCAAACCGAAGTTGGTGAGATATGCATAGACAGCAACGTATGTATGCCGCGCCAAAAGCCCGGCCATATACGCTGCCGGCACGGCAAGCATCGCTTCGCTGCGCAGGCAGCTTCGGTCGGGAGGGGCCGTCCCTGCTTGTATTTTTTGTGGGCGGTGTCGAGTCGACGAAGTCAATATAAAATCAACAATCATCAACAACACACCATGATGAAAGATGAATGGAAAAAAAAC